GAAGTCTTTAAGAGTAACAAACAGATGATCAGACATGAAAGAAAGAAAGAAAGAAAGAAAGAAAGAAAGAAAGAAAGAAAGAAAGAAAGAAAGAAGAAAGGAAAGGAAGGAAGAGAGAGAGAGAAGAGAAAGTGAGAAATAAAGAAGGAAGAAAGAAAAAGAAAAGAGAGAAAGAAAAAAAGCAAGCGAGCGAGCCTAGGTCTCTGGTTCGCAGGAAGGAAGCTAAGATCCTAGCAGCTGCTGGTGACTGGATGCTGGGAGATTCGGTGGCTCTTTGCTGTTTGTCTGTATTTCCGTGTTCTAGGTTTGATTTGGCCATACTAAAGGCTCTAGTACACTAGATTTCTGGCTGCAAAGATTTTCGGAGCTCTGACCTGGAATATTTGAAAGCTTCCTTACTGCGGCCTCGGACAGACAACTGGCATTTTCTTTGGAGAAGTCTGGATTTTCTGTAGGAATCCGACTCCTCTGACGGTTTTTCCATCTGGTCAAGGGTAACACGCAGAGAAAGCGCTCGGATGGGGCGGGAGCACGCTGGAGAGAGCCGGGCGCTGGGAACTCGGGAGAGGAGGAGGAGCTAAACAGCCAGGCACAGGACGTCTTAAAAACCTTGTATGCGTTCTGAGACAGGAAAGAACTCATCTGGCCGGTTAGCTCAGTTGGTTAGAGCGTGGTGCTAATAACGCCAAGGTCGCGGGTTCGATCCCCGTACGGGCCAAGATAGGCATTTTTTTACAAGAAATTTCAGAATGCAAGCGACTACCTTTCTCAACTCTGGAAGTTGTCTGTAACATCTTCCTGGGAGCCATAACCCGATTGTGCATGGAAAACCCTGCTCCTTGTCTCAGACCGCAGAAGTGACTGTATTTTCTTTAGGGCACTATTGGTTAAGCCTTCAAAAGTCTGCGGCTTTAAACCCGGCTCCGGTCATCCAGCACATTTCCCAAGGCTCCAGCTCCTCTGGGGCTGCCGCTTAGTGAGGGCCTCAGTGTTCATGGAGTTCTTCACGCTGAACCCTCCGCCTGCATTTCCAGCAAGACGACTGCACGCGCTGGCTGTCTGGGCAGGGCCAGCCAAAGAACGCTCCGGCATTTTCAGAGACTGACCATCGGTTTAAACGCCTTCACTCGTCTCTGCCTCCCTCTTGTCAGAGACTTCCGACTCCACACTTCTTCCTCTTGGTTCTGCATTTGGAGGCAGAGGAATGCTCTAGTCTCTGCTCTGACTCGCGGTGTTTAGTTTAACAAAAATCACCTTTGGCTCCTTTGTGGGTACAGGGTGTTGGATTTCGTTTTCCGTAGCCCAGGCTCACCTTAAACACAGAGCCCCCTGCCCCCACCCCCAGGAGCTGAGACTACAGGCTGCTCTACGGCAGTTGAACTCCGAATTAGGTAACAGTAGCTGGAGCCCACAGAGTCCAAGGTCCTGGCAAGTGCTTGAGATGTAGGAAGAGCCATGGCTCCCATACGGCTGGGACTTACTACAAAATTAAAAGAAACGGACTGTTGGCACCCACAATAGCTGTGTCTTGCTTTGGATACAAGTTCCTGACTAGATCTCAATCTTGCTTTCCTCTTCATCCTCGCTGACCATTGCTCGTGGGGAGGGACGGGGGGGTAGAGAGCTCGATACCTCTACTGTGAACTTGGTTGTCTGCACAGAGCTTTGGGTTGGGCCGCTCCGGTTTGTGCTGCCCAAGGAGAGGATAATCTTTGTTTCGTCATTAGAGCTGAGGTGAAGCTAGGCCCTGCTAGTGCCCAGTGAGTCCTCTGCAAAGCTGTGGCCCAGCCCTTCCGCCCGTGGTTTTCAGTATGGCTTCTCTGTAGGGAACGTGGAAGAGCTTTGGAAGGTGGTTAAGGGATTGGCTGAGGTTTTTCTAGATTTATTTATTATGTATGCACTGTTAAGAGCATGTCGGTCGCCGGGCGTTGGTGGCGCACGCCTTTAATCCCAGCACTCGGGAGGCAGAGGCAGGCGGATCTCTGTGAGTTCGAGGCCAGCCTGGTCTACAAAGTGAGTTCCAGGACAGCCTCCAAAGCCACAGAGAAAAAACCCTGTCTCGAAAAACCAAAAAAAAAAAAAAAAAAAGAGCATGTCGGTCATATACAGTGTTTGCCTGCATGTGCCCCTGCAGGCCAGAAGAGGGCACCAGATCACATTGCAGATGGTTGTGAGCCACCATGGGGTTGCAGGGAATGGAACACAGGACCTCTGGAAGAGCAGTTTCAGGCCAGCTTGGGCTATATATGTAACAAGACACTGTTTTGCTAAGACAAAGACTTAGAACCATGACAACAGAACTGCAGAGGCCCCTGGCCAACACTTAGTGAAGCTGTTAGGACATTAACTCAGGGCACAGCAAGGTTTATGGTGAGTGTAACATGAAGACAGGCTGCAGTAATCATAAAGATGATATTTATGTCACCCAGGGCTGCTGAGACAGCTCGGTGATTCAGGTTTCCTGCTCTTTCAAAGACCTGGGTTCGATTCTCAGTTCATACAGGGTGGCTCACAACCACCTGTAACTCCAGCTGATGCTTCCCACTGACCACCTCAGGCTCCTGCTCACGTGGGCTGTCCATACACATACTCAGGCACACACACAGACTTAAAAAAAAAAAAAAGAAGATAACTCTGTGGTGAAAAAAATGATCAGAGCCTGAGAGCAGGCTGTGCCCAGCTCCGCCCTGTGGCTTCTGCTCGTCACACTGAGGGACAAATGCCAGTCCCTCTTCCCAGTTAGACGTCAAGCTTCCCCGAGCATGGGCTCCCAGTGTCTCCACAGGGGCTTAATGAGTGTGTGTTATGCCTGCCCTACTCAGGGGAGAGCTGACACACAGAGAGAAGTCAGACTGGGGGGGTAGGGGTAGTGGAGCTGGACGAGCAAACCTGAAGTGTGAGGCAGTGGATGCATTCACCGCCCGTCTACCCACTCGTCTATCTCACCTCCCCACCATCCATCATCCATCCATCCATGTTTCCATTAACTATTCATCCATCCATCCATCCATCCATGTTTCCATTAACTATCCATCCATCCATCCATCCATCCATCCATGTTTCCATTAACTATTCATCCATCCATCATCCATCCATCCATCCATCCATGTTTCCATTAACTATTCATCCACCATTCCCTTGAGTGTGTATTTTGGGTCAAAGCTTGTGTTGTTGGGCACCCAATGAACAATATGTTATTCCTGCCCTCAAGATGTGCACAGTCTAGGTAGCAGGCAGGTGTGGGATGGGTCACCCTGGAAATACTTTAGGAGGCTTGTGAGCATTAAGGTTAAAAATGCAAACATTTTGTGGCTAGGGAGGTGGATCAGTGGTTAAGATCACTGGCTGCTCTTACAGAGGACCTGAGTTCCAGTCTCATCACCAACATGTCGGGGAGTCCATTCTTCTTTTGGCCTCTGAAGACACCAGGTGTTAGTACTCAGGCATCTGTCCTGTCCTGTCCTTGGGTTCTGACAGGATACGTCCTAGCTGCAGCCAATAAGAGCACCAGCTGTGCACATTCGCTGTGTTCCCTTTAAGAAGGGCCCTGCTCGCCTCCCATCCTCTTCTCTCTCTCTCTCTCTTCCTCTCTCTATTTCTCCTGCTGCTCCTGTCCCAGGAGGCCAGTCTTTCCCTCCCCATGACCCCTTTCCCTAATAAAACCCCGCTGTCACATGGCGTCTTTCTTTTTAGTGCTGCCTTAAATCACAACACCAGGAACACAAGTTGTGTACAGACATACACTCAGGCAAAACACCATACACATAAGACAAAGCAAAAAAACTAAAAGCAAACTTTATAGTCCCATTATGAGGCAGGGTAAAATTGAGGGGACATGAGAAGGGAAAAGAGCTCCTCTCTCTGGAGTCTGGTAAAGCCTCTCGCCAACTGGGAGACAAGCATCTCATAATCGACAGCAATTACTGAAGGCTGCTAACAGAGAGAACATTCCTTCTATATAGAAAGGTTTAAAATAACAATGCTAAGAGCTGGGTGTGGCGGCACATGACTGTAATCTCAGCACTCAAAGCAGAGGCAGGCCGAATTCAAGGTCAGCCTGGTCTACAGAGGGAGCTAAGACAGCCAGGGCTACGTAGAGAAACCCTGTCTCGACACCCTCTAGGCCTTCTAGAGTCACCCAGAGCCACCTTCTAAACTCATTTATCGAGGAGGGGAAAAGGTTTCCTCGAGCAGCCCTTTGGATTGTAACTTGAGAGCCACCAGATTTTATGTATGGCTACCCATCAGACATTTAAGCTGTGCAGCCCCCTCTGGAGAAGCCCCCGGACATACTGGGTGCCTCAGTCTCCCCAGAGCATCTCTCATTCCCGTAACCCTGCTCTTAAATCTATGCTAACCTTGGTACACGATGAACCCCAGCTGCGCTCCATAGTGGTTCGTCCCGAAATTCCTTACTGTGCTGACTATCTTCAGTTCAGTAAACTGTAAGACTGCAAACTCAGCCTGCAGCGCTGCCAGTCTGCAACGCATCGCTACTACCAGTAAGTGTTTGGAAGGCCGAGACTGAAGGATCGGCACGAGCTCGAGATCAGTCAGGGTTACAGCAGGGGGCCCGGAAGCAGAGAGAGAGAGAAGGAGAGAGAGAGAGAGAGAGAGAGAGAGAGAGAGAGAGAGAGCAGACAGACAGACAGACAGACAGACAGAGACAGAAACAGAGACAGACAGACAGACAGAGAGGAGACAGAGACAGACAGACAGACAGAGAGAAGGAGAGAGAGACAGAGAGAGAGACAGACAGACAGACAGACAGAGAAGGAGAGAGAGAGACAGAGACAGAGAGAGACAGACAGAGAGACAGAGAGAGACAGACAGACAGAGACAGACAGACAGACAGAGAGAGGAGAGAGGAGAGGAGAGAGAGAGAGAGAGAGAGAGAGAGAGAGAGAGAGAGAGAGAGAGAGAGAGAGAGAGAGAGAGAGAGAGAGAGAGAGAAATTTTTCCCTTTGGTTTTGGTTTTTTCGAGACAGTTTCTCTCTGTAGCTTTGGAGCCTGTCCTGGAACTCACGAAAAAAATTAAATCTTAACTTGGTGGAGTATTTGTCCTAACAATGGCTGGAGCCCCAGCACCGCATAAAAGCAGGAGTGAGGAAGACGTTTGAATTTAAGGATTGGTGTAGGTCGGGGTCTCTGGAACAAGGAAGAACCGCACCGGGACATCGTCACGGAGCCGGTGACAGCTGAGGACCGAACCATTTAAGGCCGCCGCGGCGTCCTCCGCGAGGGGGTGGCAACTAAGAACAGCCGCTTCCGAGCCTCGGAGGTGTCTAGGCCTGCGGGGCACTCGTAGATTCCGCTCTTTCCCGGGTGACGCACTTCCGCGCCGCCGCCACAGTTGACGCGGGTTCGAGTCCCCGCTTCGACCGCCATGGCGGGCGCGGAACCGGAGCCCGGGAATGGCGGCCGCAGTGGCTCGGTTCCTCCCGGTCAGAGCCACAGCGCCGTGCGCGTGGCCCCGCTGGACCCCGAGCAGCTGCGGCGGGTCCTGGAGCAGGTGACTCGGGCGCAGCCACCGCCCTTCGTGCTGCAGGACGCGGCGCAGCGGCTCCGGGACGCGGCCCAGCAGGCCGCCCTGCAGCGGGGACCGGGCGCCAGGGCCCCGCGCCTGCTGCCGCCCCAGGTGAGGCGCCGCGGGGGGTGGAGAGACCGGCGTTCGGAACCTAGGTCCTCCCCGGCCCAGCCCCGTGGAGACGGCGCGGTGACGCACCTGCGCGCTCGGCCCTCTTCGGGGGCATCCTCCGGCCTCCTCCGCCCCGTGTCCCTCCGAGCCCCCTCGCTCCCCTGATCAGCCTTTGCCCTTGGTTCAGTGTTCACGTAGCACCGGTCGTGTGGCGGGTTTTGCACTAAGGTCAAGCGAGCGTATCCTCCAGCGCCCAGAGGATAGCATAAGACACGTTCTGGGGGTGACGAGGGAGGACTTCCTAGTGGGGGCTTCCGTAGCCCTGACGCTGGAGCCCCCCGCTGAGTAGATGAAGAGTTGACATCCGAGCGAGCTCTGCCGGAACGCAGCGGCCGCTGGCCTGACCTGGGACGGAGCTAAGCTGTCTCCCTGGAGGTTTGCTGTAGACTTTTGCAAACCCCAGCGTCTGTCCGATACAGTAGCAGATCAACACACGGAGGCTGTTGGGAGAGTGGGAGGGTCCAGATAGCCCCCGAAACTGCAGGTACCCCATGCCGGGAGTGAAAACACATCCCCTTTACCGGCTGGCATTGGAAATGACAAAACATATCTCACTTCAATATTGCCAAAAGAGACAGCTACTTCCACCAGAATATATAGGGTAGGGAGTAGAATCCAGCAGTCTTCAGCATGGGTTTGGCTTTGAGGTAGGCTGTATAGGCTTGCTTCCAATTGGTTATCCAGACTGGACAGTCGGTTGAGGGAATAGTTTAAATAAAAAATAAAAAGTCCGAGCCGGGCGTTGGTGGCGCACACCTTTAATCCCAGCACTCGGGAGGCAGAGGCAGGCGGATCTCTGTGAGTTCGAGGCCAGCCTGGTCTACAGAGCAAGTTCCAGGACAGCCTCCAAAACAATGCAGAGAAACCCTGTCTCGAAAAATCAAAAAAAAAAAAAAAAGTCCGGACAGCTGAACCAGCAAGATGGCCCAGCTTGGTAAAGGAACTTGGTGTGTAAAGGTCACCCAAGCCTGGCAACCTCAGCTTGATCCCCAGAACCCATGAAAAGTGGAAGCTGAGAACCAACCCCACAAAGTCGTCCCCTGACCTACACGTACATAATAAACTTTTTTAAATTAAAGAAAAAGACTGGAGGCCTGTGTTGCTAGAGTTTGGTAAGGCAGTATGACTGCCTCACAGCACTTTCTAGAAGAGTGAACGACCCTCTTTGGCCATTGGCTTCCCTGTTTGCAGGAAGGGTGGCTCCCTAGATATGCTTCTGTGTGTGGCGGTGGAAGCCAGCGGCTCTCCGCAGGCTCTGGACATCACGGCTGAGTCAGAATCTGACACCCTGCTAGTGCAGCCTCCATGGAGTGACAGCTCCTGTCACGGTGCCTCTACCCTGTGCCAAACTTTTTCTCTGAGTGGCGTGGGCGTCAGCAACCGAGTTTGTTTTTTGTTTGTTTTGTTTGTTTATTGGACATTAGGTCTTATTTCTCAGGCTGGCTGCATATTTGTTGTGTAGCTGAAAATTACTTTGAATTTCTTTCCTTTTTGTTTTGATACAGGATTTGTCTGTGTAACAGCTCTGACTGTCCTGGAACTCACAGAGATCCTCCTGCCTCTACCTTCCAAGTGCTGGGACTAAAAGTGTGTGCCACTACCATGCCCGGCTGACTGAATTTCTAATACTTCCTCAACATGCTCCAGGATGCGGGCATCACACACCACGGTTATGCAGTGCTGGGGACTGAACTCAAGGTTACTCTGTGGTTAAACACTACCAGCTGAGCTTTACCTCCAGCCCCTGGGGAACCAGCCCAAGGGAGGTTAAGTGACTATGCTCAGTGTCTCTAGAGCCTACATCTTCGCCACACTGCTAAATGTGGTCACAACTTTGAATTTGATAGGACAGCTCTGGAAGGAGGTAGTAACATAATTCCCATTAAATAAAAGCAGACTTAGAGTTAGCTTGATAGAATTGTGGTTGGTAGCTGATCTAACGGAGATGGTGATAGCTAAATATACCTGTGTGGCCTTTGGATAACTTTCAGCCTAAACGTACCACAGAAAGCCAAAGGCCAAGCAGATATGAACTGCTCCTAAGGGATCTGTGAACTCGTCAGAAATGAAGCATGACCCAGACACTATCCATCCAAGGCCAAAACCCACCGATACAAGAACTGAATACCTTCAGAAGAAAGGAAGTAGTTTCTGTCGAGGAACACCAGTCAGTGTTGAAAAGGCAGTGTCTGAGCTGGATTTGCAGAGATGGGTTCTGACTGGAAATTCAGCAGAAGACAGTCAGTGTACAGGGTACAGTTGGGACTCACCATGGGGACAGTGGCCCAGAAGTACAAGCGGGTGAGCACACTCCCCTGTGGTAGTTTGGGACTCTGGTCATCACCTCCCTTGCTCTTACCCTATAGAAATTCTTCAGTTCCACCAACACTGTGCCCATTTCCATGCTTCCATGAAAACACCTGTCTTCCCTTAGACCAAAGGGTCTGGCATGCCCGACAGAAGTCATTGCAACCTTCAAAGTACCTTAGAGACTATCTCTTTGGGGACAGCCTCTGTTCTGTCACCGTGACATTATTATCTGCCTGACCTGTCCCCGGAGACTCTTGTTTACTTTTCGAATCATCAGTGAAACTTTTCAAAAGATGGGTCTGGGGGTTCTGCCCCAGGAGAGACAATCTTACAGAACTGCAGGGCTTGACGAAGGGCCAGGGAGACCTCAGGGTGAGACCAGGGCTTAGCCAATGTTCATAAGTGGGTACCAGAGGGATTTACAGACTTATGCTGAATGAAATAGACACAAATCAAAATAACAAGTGCTACATCCACTAGCACACATGGTAAGCCTGTCAGGGCTTCAGATCAATAAATTAGAGCAGTTCCCCTAGAACAAGGATGTGTGTGTGTGAGTGTGTGCGCATTGTTCTTAAAGATGTGCACAGCAAAACTAGCTCTCATTGAGTTACAGGCAGTGCAGGAATTGTGGGCTCATGGGACATCTGCACCTACTCTACACACTTCTTCATAGGCCATAATCGCAAAGAGGGTCTGCTGTTTGTAATAGTGTACCAGGCATGCAGATGGGGCACTCCAGCCTGACTGCAAGGCAGCTCTGCCCGTGTGACACCGTTAACCAGCCTCCCTCCTGCTGGTGGATTGGGTCTGTAGAGGGTGTGCTAGTCTCAAACCATTGGGGCTGCGTCCCCAGCCACTGGAGAAACAAACTTTGTCACACCTGCGAGATGCTACTGGCATCTGCTAGGTCAAGGTAGGGACACCACCCAGTATTCTCCAGTGCACAGGATAGCCCCGCCCCTTAATACCAAATGACCACTGAGTTTTAATTTGTGCTGAGGGAATGAACCATGGCCTGGATGGTGTCTGTCTCCCTCTGGAAAAAAATGCTAGTTATTTCTGTTCTGCAAGAACGGGAACCTTTCTCTCCTGCTGCTCCTGGCCTCTTCCCAGTCAGCTCCTTGCTATTATACACATGGCTACCCTTTGTAGTGCTCAGTAAGTACTTGTGGAACGCTGTTGAAGGCAGCACTTTCCTCTGGTGGCCGGCTATGCAGACAGTGCTACCTCAAACCTAGAACCTACATACTTTTGCACAGTTAAGATTTTTAAAAATAGAATCCAGAAAGTGAATTACTAGGTCAAAGAGCATACACAGTTTTTGTTGAATTAAAAAAAAAAAGAAAGAAAGAAAAAGAACCGGGCGGTGGTGGCGCACACCTTTAATCTCAGCACTCGGGAGGCAGAGGCAGGAGGATCTCTGTGAGTTCCAGGCCAGCCTGGTCTACAGAGTGAGTTCCAGGACAGCCTTCAAAACAATACAGAAAAACCCTGTCTTGAAAAACCAAAAAAAAAAAAAAAAAAAAAAAAAGGCTGGAGAGCTGGTTCAGTGGTTAAGAATGTCTTATGCTCGTCTAGAGAACCCAGTTCTGTTCCCAGCACTCACCTGTAACAACTCCAGTTACATGGGGTCTGATCTTCTCTGGCAGTTTCGAGCACCTGCCACACACAGCTTACATTCACACACACACACACACACACACACACACACACACTGGCACACGGTGGGGGTGTGCTGTAGAGATGCTCGGTGGTTGAGAGTGTGAACTGTTCTTTCAAAGGATCCAAGTTCGGTTCCCTGCACCCGCTTTAGGTAACTCACAACTGTTGGGTGGTGGGGATGAGGGCAGCACAGATGCTGGGAAATGTAATGTCTCTCTTCTTTTTCCCCCGCTTTCTTTTTGTGTTTAAGCAACTTGAAGCCATTTGTGTCAAAGTGACATCTGGTGACACAAAAAGTAAGGAAAGGCCAATGCCCCCTCTGGCCACCATCCAACCTAAAACAGCAAGACAAAGTGAGCCACCTAGGAGCAGCTCCAGCCTGGGGCTCTGTGTCTCGGGCCCTCAGCTGCTCAGGGTGCAGGCCCTGGGGAGGGCTGGCTCACAGCTGTGCTTCCTCAGAAGGTCCCCTCAGCCCCCTGCTCCTCGGGGGCTTGGACAGAAGCCACTGCCAGCCCTTCAGCCAGTCCCTTCAAGGAGAGTCAAGGCCCCTCAGGCTGCAAATGGGCTTGGGGTCACTCTGAACCCTTTGGCAGCCTCTGGGCCGCCTGCAGTGGGCCCTGTGTCATCCAGCTCAGCGTGTCTGTTCATTCCCGCCTGGCATACAGTGCACACCGAAAAACTGAAGACATCTTTAAAGGTGAAGACACGGTCTGGACGGATATCCCGGCCTCCCAAATATAAAGCCAGAGATTACAAATTCATCAAAACAGAGGACTTAGCAGATGGGCACCTTTCAGATTCCGACGACTACTCGGAGCTGAGCGTGGACGAGGAGGAAGAGGGGACTGAGAGGCGGGGCCTCTTCCACACTGAGGGCTGTGCCCTGAGGCCCAAGGCCTTTAAGTGTCAGACTTGTGAAAAGTCATACATAGGAAAGGGGGGACTGGCAAGGCATTTTAAACTCAATCCAGGCCATGGCCACCTGGAGCCTGAGGTGTTGCTGTCGGAGAAAGCTAATGGGAGCCTGACCCTGGGGTGCGCCGCCTCAGAGACCAGAGGCCTGGCTTCCCCGGCGCTGTCCACACCAGCTGCCCTCTGTACGGGAGCGGCAGAGCCAGCCTGGCGAACCTCGCAGGTAACGTTTCTGTCGGTGATGGAGCCCTTATCTCTGCACTTTCCCCCCATCCTCCTTCAGTTACATCCTAACAGTGTCAGATGGGGCTCGGGACCCACATCCTGAGGGTCCCAGACCCGAGTGGGAGGTAGATTCTTTTGTCCGTGGCCCTACTTGGTGAGAACATTTGGGGGACATGGCCGTGGCTGTCTAGATCTGGTTGACTAATAACAGTGGCAGAGGAATGTGGGAAAGGCCAGGCTTGGGGCATAACCCATAGGGCCTGCCACTCTCCCTGCAGTGGGCCAGCAGTTTCTAAAGTAGGGTTAGGCTGCTTTACTGTTTGATTAACATTAGTACCTTGGGGTCTGGACAGAACATTTGGGCCCAGGGATGAGTACTGGGGCCTGGAGGTAGAGCCCTGAGACAGCCTTGTGATGGGTTTAAAGATGCTGTCATGCCTTTAGCATTGGTGCCAACGCTACAACCGCATTTTCTTTATGCACACATTGGGCAGTTCTGTGCTAAGAGTGTCATTCATTTTACCTCTCCTCCTCCTCTTCCCCTTCCTCCTCTCCTCCTCCTTCCCTCCTCCTCCTCCTCCTTTCCTTTCTCCCCACCCTCCCCTCCCTCTTCCTTCTCCCCTTCCTCTTCCCCCTTTCCTCCTCCCTTCCTCCCCTCCCTCCTCCTTCTCCCTTCCTCCTCTCCCGCCTCCTCCCTCTTCCTCCCCTCCCTCCTCCTCCCGTTCCTCCCGTTCCTCCTCTTGCACTTACTCTTATTGATGAGCACTGCTCTTAAGGACCTCTGTTTTCAGGCAGTGCTCTGCCACTGGACCATTCCCTGGCCCTGTACATTTTGTTTTCTTTTTTGAGATCCACCTGCTGTAGCTCCCCAGTGCTGGGATTCAAAGCCCGGGTGGCTCCGCCCTATGCCCAGCCCCTGCACATTTTCTTAATGTCCACTCCTACGTGAGGTGCTGCAGTGAGGCCTAGAGGGCCTGGTTAGAGAGTGTTACTAAAGGAAAACAGTGTAGGAAGTCCTTTGCATTTGACTGGACACTTCTGCTTTAAGGTTTCCATGATGGCATATGATGCATGATCTTTCAAAATCTCATTTTGTTTTATTCTTGGGTGTGCAACACTGTCTAGAATGGTCAGCCTGCTGAAGTTGAAGAGACAGTGGTACCTGAACCAGAAAGTAGAAGTCCCCCGGCTCTCCTGAGACCAGAGAAATACCTAGACCCTAAGAATGGAAGTTGGGCAAGCCAGGCAGAGTTCAGCACAGCCAGCCTCCCGCAGAGCAGAGCTGTGCTGCCAAACAGCCACCCTGCTGCACCTTCAAGGCTGAGCGTCTCCAGGGGAGCACAGCTCCAGGAGGTAACTTGCTCTGGTACAGTGTGCTCAGAGTCGGCTGGTCCAGGATGTAACAACTCCCCACTATCTTCTCTCTACCTCCAGTTTCACAACGGGGTCACAATGCATAGCCCCTGCTGGCCTTGATCTCAGTCTTCTTGCTCCAGTCTCCCGAGTGCTGGTGTTACAGGCCTGGGCCACCATCTCTGGCTCTCTGTCAGCTTTCTGCAGTTAAAAGTAAAACCCCAGCATCCAAGCCTTGTGGAGTGGTGCATGCTAGAGGGAGGCTGAAGCAGGAGGTGGAGAGTTCCAGGCCATGGGGCTGGAGAGGTGGCTCAGTGACTAAGACTTGGGTTTCTAGAAAGTGGTCTTCCTAGACCGTGTCTTAGGCACATGTGGCATTACACATTGCAGCTTTGCTCCATTCCCCTGGTGTCCTGCAACCTTGGGTGACTGACTGTAGAGACTTGAGAGAGAACCTTTGGAGTTAGCGGTTGGCATTAGACTCAGTACCATCTACAGAGCATTTTCAGAGACGGCAGCTCAGCCCCTCTCCCTCCCTGGTTTCTGCTTCGTCAGCCTCCTGTCATTGATTTCACCGTGGTCTCCGCCCTAACAGATGAGCAGCCGAAACCCCAGGGAAGCAAGGTGCCCAGGGAGGCTGCAGGCAGGAGGCAGGGCAGGAACTTAAACTCAGGTTATTTTTTGTCAGGGCAGTGAGACTGGCCCAGGCTGGGCAAAGTGACTGCAGTGGGACTCTGCCCTCCTGACAGCACCATCTCTGTCCTACAGCTGAGTGGCTGCTGTGAGCAGGGCCACTCCAACTCTTAGATGAGAATCCCCCCAAGAAGTTCACATCTATTTGTACATGAACTGTGCGCCCATAACATATCAGGCCCAGCTCTGGTTATGAAGGGGCAGTGTGTACAAACTAGATATAGCTGTCACTCCGGCAGGAAGTAGGGGGAGTGACAGTCAAACCTGTCGGTTGACAAAACTGCCAGGTGGATGTTCTCACTGGCTAACACTAAAGAGATGACTGCCATCAACACTTGCCCAGAGTTTAAGTCATGGCAAGGTAACACCATATAAACCAGTTTTCCTAGCCAGGCGTTGGTGGTGCACGCCTTTAATCCCAGCACTCGGGAGGCAGAGGCAGATGAATCTCTGCGAGTTCGAGGCCAGCCTGGTCTACAGAGCGAGTTCCAGGACAGCCTCCAAAGTCACAGAGAAACCCTGTCTCAAAAAAACCAATAAATCAATAAATAAATAAGTAAATAAATAAATAAATAAATAAATAAATAAACCCAGCTTTCCTGCACATCACAGAGCTGAAAACACAAGACTGTCTTCTCCTAACTCTCCAGTGGCTGGGCATGTAGCATGCACCTTTAGTCCTAGTTCTTGAGGCAAAGGCAGGCAGATCTCTGAGCCTTCAAGGCCAGCCAGAGCTATGTAGTAAAATACTTCCTCCAACAAAACAAACCCCAAACCAATCCCCCCAAAGCCAACCCCCAAAAGAAAGAAAACTCTGCACATAGGCACCTGCGTACTGTCCGGTCTCCCGTGTGTGGAGAGCGCACAAGCTGGCACCCTGCCTGGCGCTGGGATACGGGGGATACGGAGGCCGCTGTGCTCAAGCTAGAAGCTCCAGTCCTTCTTGTCTTTCATCCCTCCCCTCCTCTCCTCCCTTCCTCTCTCTTGTTTTTGTTTAGGTTTTTGACAAATTGTTCACTCTGTAGTCCAGGATGGCTTTAAACTCCCATTATGGATCCCAGGCTGGCCCTGCCAAGCTTTCTACCTCAAGCCTTCCGAGTGCTGAGATTAACAAGCTAAACTACTACCCCTGGCTCAACCTCTGTCTTCTCCCTGCCCCGTCCCAATCCACCCACATCCCCATGTTGGACCTGATAGGCTCTCCCCGCCCGTTCTCCCTCACCTCCCTGTACGAGTCCTCATCTCTTGCTCATCAGATGCTGCTGCCTCCCATTGCTGTGCCCCCTTCAGACCCAGCCACACCCTCCTCTCCCTACACAACCACCTGCCCAACCCCCTCCAGAACCAGGTACTACGATGCTGTAATACTCAGAGGGCTGAGGCAGGGGGCCCGTTTGAGGCTAGACCTTGAGGCTAACCTAGGCAACACAGCAACACCCCACTTCTAACAGCATAATCTCCTTCCATATGCCACCACTGGACGGCAATCTAAGTCTCTGGGCTTCTCCTGGCCTAGCCTGGGCTGCTTTCCCACCTGCCTGCCAGGTCCTGGGTGCTGTCTGCAGCCGTGTGACTCCCCTCTGCACCTGATCCCCAGAGGCTCATAGTTATCCGCTTCTCCTGTGGTGCACCGTGTTTGAAGCTAGACCCGACCATGGTGTTCTGTGGTTGGACAACAGTGTGCAACTGCGTACAGCCGGATTCTAGATCTTTCTGCCCAAATCACACCAACTCCAGATACAGGTGGCCAATTCTTTGTTCCGGCAGGCTCTCCAGCAGTGTGGCCGGGAGGAGCTGGTGGAATTGGTTCTGCCTCAGCTGGCTCAGGTGGTGACCCTGTGCGAACTTCTTGTGGTGAAGGTGAGTCCCTGCAGTAGGTCAAGATAGAGGGTTAGCCCGAGCTGGACTCCCTAGTTAGAGGGTTAGCCTGAGCTGGACTCCCTAGTTAGAGGGTTAGCCTGAGCACACCGTGTGCTGGACTCCCTAGTTAGAGGGTTAGCCTGAGCACACCGTGTGCTGGACTCCCTAGTTAGAGGGTTAGCCTGAGCACACCGTGAGTTGGCTGCCTACTACCTTGGGAACACACCAGGCCATTTGGAGTGACTTGCTTTCCTTCCCTAGGACGAGCTGAAGACAGCTCTGGCACCCAGAACCTGTCTGTGTCACTCATTTGACTACAACAGTAGGTGGGGAAAACCATGGTGGCAGGATGTGCCCCTAGGAGCTGAAGGTGCCCTTTTGCCAACTGTATACTCCCTGTGGGACCACCCTAACCCCAGGGGTTGTGGCCTTCACCCTAGGGGTTTGTTTTCTGGCATCCCATCCCCAACTCTCGGAGTTGGGCGTGCTGGTGGCATACATAGGCACCACTAGGAAGGGAAGGAAACACTGACCACTGACCACTCCCTGGAGTGAGGACCTCAGCTCCCTCTGTCTCCAGGGTTAGCCTATGCTTTCCATTGCCTCGTTTTAAACTCTGCTCATCTTCACCTTCACAAAGGTTGAGAGAAGTCGTGGAGCGAAGCCTTTCTTTCCGGCCGTGTACAAGGAGTTTGAAGAGTTGTATGGCGTGGTGAAGAGACTGTGTCAGGATTACCTCAGGAGCTCTGGCCTGCATTCTCAGGAGCCCCTGGAGATAAACAACGATGAGGTGCCATCTTGAGGGACTCTAAAATTATGTTACGTATGTAGGTGTCTTGTCTGCACAAGTTAGGGTTTTGACTGAGCCGATAAAGCACTGTGACCGAAATCCGGGAGGAAAGGCTTTATCTCAGCTCGTAACTCAGACTCTGTCTACCACTGAGGAGGCTGGGGCAGGGAACTAGAGGCAGGACTGCAGCAGAGGCCATGGGAGCGCCGCTCCCTGCTGGCTCAGCCCGCTTTCTCATACCATCCAGGACAACTTTTCCAGTGACCTGGGCTCTCCACATTAACCCCGACTCAGGAAAACACCCGGCAGACTTGCCTACAGGTTAACTCTGTGGAGACATTTCCTCAATAACATTACCTCTTCCTGGATATGTCTAGGTTTGTGTCACAGTGACACATGTCCTACAAGCACAGTGTATGTCTGTGTACTGTATGGGTGCCCAGTGCCCGAAGAGGACATCAGGTCTCCTGGGTCTGGGGTTATATATTGTTGCTACCCTCCATATGGGAGCTGGAAATTGAACCCAGGTCCTCCAGAAGAGCAACTAATACTCTTAACTACTTAGCCATCTCTTCAGCCTCAACCTTGAACTTTTGATTTTCTTGCCTCTACCTCCTGGGTGCTGAGATTACCGGTATTTACCTCCGTGTCCCTGTATGTGGTACTGGGAATTGAACCGGTATTTACCTCCGTGTCCCTGTATGTGGTACTGGGAATTGAACTCAGCCTAGCACATGGGAGGTAAGTGGTAAGTGCTCTACCAACTCAGTTGCATTTGCAGCCCCTGGATATAGTCTTTTTTTTTTTTTTTTTTTGGTTTTACGAGACAAAGTTTCTCTGTATTGTTTTGGAGGCTGTCGGTCCAGCCTGTCCTCGAACTCACAGAGATCCTCCTCCCGAGTGCTGCCTCTACCTCCCGAGTGCTGGGATTAAAGGCGTGCACCACCACCGCCCGGCTAGATATAGTCTTTTTAGATACTTTATTAACTTTATTTTATGTGCATTGATGTAAGAATGACAGGTCTCCTGGAACTGGAGTTACAGAAGTTGTGAGCTGCCACGTGGGTGCTGGGAATAGAACCTGGGTCCTCTGGAAGAGCAGTCAGTGCCCTTAACTACTGAGCAATCTCTCCAGCTCCCCTGAATATATTCTTAACAAGGTTTTGGATTTTGTTTTGTTTTGTTTTTTTTTTGGTTTTTCGAGACAGGGTTTCCCTGTGGCTTTGGAGGCTGTCCTGGAACTCTCTCTGTAGACCAGGCTGGTCTCGAACTCACAGTGATCCGCCTGCCTCTGCCTCCCAAGTGCTGGGATTAAAGGCGTGTGCCACCAACGCCTGGCGGTTTTGGATTTTTTAAATTATGTTATTATAAACATTAGATTAGTTTGCTAAAGCCTTGGGCAGATTCTCCATAGATGACAACAGTCACTCATGTTGTGATTTATTTTCATTTTAAGTGTACTTTAGAACAGTGGCTGGGGTTTCAGCTTGGGCAGTGCTACCCTTACAAAGCCCAATTTTCTTCATTAGTCGTGTTCTGCTGTCTTTCCTGCTGGTCCTCATTCTGTCTTACACCGAAAGGTGTTCTCCTTTACATTTGGTATATATGTACATAGGTACAAATGTGCCCTCCATGTATGTGTGTGTATATTATATATATAAAGCCACACTGAGCATCACAGAAACCGGGTACCTGAAACTCACAGAACCAGAAGAGGGGAGTGTAAGGAGGTGGTAAGGGAGAAAACAGTCCAGTAAGAATTGAAAGGGAAGCTGGCTGGTGGTAGTACATGCCTTTAATCCCAGTACTTGGAGGCAGAGGCAGGCAGATCTCTGTGAGTTCAAGGCCAGCCTGGTCTACAGAGCTACACAGAGAAACCTTGTCTCAAAAAAGTAAAAAAGGATTGAAGGGGAAAGAAAAAAGAGCAACAACTGTCAAGAAAGGAACCTTGGTCGCGTTAGCATTGGTAAGGCAGCCACGGCACTGAGGAGAGAGACTCAGCTCCACCTCCACTTGTAACTGTAAAGTCAATACAGGAGAGAAAGATGCCATTCGACAGAGCTTGGGCAGATGGGAAAACGGGGAGGAGAGAGGGGAGACCGGTCTCTGGGGACAGGAGTAGCAGAAGAGAAGAGAGAGGTGGGGAGAGAGACAGAGACAGAGACAGAGACAGACACACACAGAGAGACAGAGACAGAGAGAGACACAGAGAGAGAGAGGAATAGAGGGAAAGAGAGGATGGGAGGTGGTCAGGACCCCTTTACAAGGGAACATGGTGAATAGGCTCAGGTGGTACTCTTAGTGTCAACTGCTGAGGGCGTGTCCTGTCACAACCCACAGGCAGGCCAGTACAGATGTCTGAACACTAACAGCACGGACAGATCCTGCTAGCTAGCTGGTGATGGGCTCCACATGACTTTGCATCTGTCATCTTCCTCCTTGTTAACTGCACCTCACTGGACAAAGGAGCCTCCTGGATTTCTACTCAGGCATAGGCAGGAATTGACACTTGGCATGCTGTGCTCTAAGCGAAGTTCATTTCTCCCCTTTCCCGCAGGTTGCCAGGTCGTTAGGAATCACAGAATTCCTGAGGAGGAAAGAGACGCACCCAAGCAGTGCGCCTGAGTGCTCCTGCCAGGAGATGGAGGAGAAGCTGCAGGAGGCCAGTGGACATAAGAGGGAGCGGGCGTGGGCTGTGGTGGTGAGTGGTGTGTGTGGACATCTGTGAGGTGTTGGATTCAGCATCTGGCCTTGTCCGTTGCAGCTCCTTGGCCTCTCTAGGCTGCTCTCTCTTCTGCTCTCAGATAAGGGAGTCTTCTCTCCGTAGGTCACAGGGGAGGGGCTGGCCTCAGTGAAGAAGGCTCGGACAGCAGATGTCCCCGAGTGTCCTGCTGCCATCAGTGGATGCCAGCAGAAGCCTGGGTCCTCAAGCGCCCCAGCCACCAGCAAGGGTAAATCATTTATCTTGTGGGTTGCCCCATACTCAGTGGTCCTACTAGAAGGCACAGATGCACAGGGCCATCATTTTTAGGGGTGGGGTACCCCTTTGACCTAATCTGAGAGTACCCTCTAGTCTCTTGGGGTTTTATCCCTACCTTCCAACAGTCTGTCATGCCCATGTCACGAGGCGTTGGGGTCTCCTAGAGTCCTTTATTGACTAAGGCACTTCATAGTGGTGTCGCAGGCAGGTAGACCCAGGCTGCTCTGAGAGGATGGGCAGAGATGGGTCCCAAGGACACATGTATGTGTGGCTTAGCATCTAGGACATGACTGCACTGAACATGAGATCTAACTTGAGAGGAAGACTTTCTCCCTTTAGTTCTGGCTGCAATCAGGTTCTGTCTGCGAGGTACTTTGGAATACAGTATTGGCAATAGTCACATGCCTGTGCAGACTTACAGGCCTCTCTGGTTTCTGGCCTGATGCTAAGCCCTTCAGTGGAAGAGTCATGCCCATTTCAGAACTTGTGTGCGGTTGTGTTCCGTGGGAACAGTGAACCTCTGGCACCAGTGTGGGACACTGCCTCTCCCTTAGTCACCGTACAGTTGGCTTCCTCCCAGCAAATGGTCCTTCAGTATCATATGTCCTCCATCCCTGGGGCTGAGTGAGAGGGCCCTTGACCTCAAGACCGGGTCTCTTGTCTGGGAACCCGGAAGGTTATGTTGAAATAACCTTCCAGGTTTTCCAGGGTTGGGGCTGGGTGGGGTTGTCTGTGGATCTGTTTTGAAAGGCCTCTCTTACCCTTGGGCTCCCCACCAGAAAGGGAGCACTGTTCATTCATTCAATGAAGTCAGCTTCCTAAATTCTCTTGGAGCACGGTAGAATACGAAAACATACTTTTGTGAATAGATACAGTAGCCAATAAAATCCCACTGCCCAGCCCAAGCATGGAAGAGAACCTGCATTCCTGCTTCTTTGACGAAAGTTCATTTGGAGCAGCTCATTGTGGTGATGGGCATGTGACTGTTGTTTTTCTGAACTATTCAGGTTCTGCCCGTGCAGTCATTGAGAACCCTTCTCCCTGCTATGAAGGAAGCCGTGGGGAGATGGTTACCGCAAGTGGCAGACGTGTATCGTCTGCAGGCCCGCAGCTCTTGGTGATGGCATCTGCAGACTTTGAAGCCAGGAGTGGCTCTACAGACCCTGATCTTCTGTGTCAGGATGTCAGTAGGTCAGCTCTTTATTCCCAGGTAGCAGAGCCCAGAGGGCTGTCCCCAGCCCAGATGCCAGGGTTTTCTGAAGAGAATGTTCCAGAACACTCTGTAGAGCAGAATTCTGGGGCCGTCCAAAGAAGCACTGGTGTCTGTGGTACCCCATCATCAGGGGGAGGAGTGGAGTCCCTGCTTCTTGGAGAATGGGGAAATGCAGAGGCGGGAGACATCAGAGAAATGAGCCAGCCCCACCTCAGAGGGCAGCAGGCCAGCCCCCGCCACGCCCTGCCTGAAGAGGCTGCAGCCTTTCCACTCCACAGCATCTTGCCTGTGACTGTCCCGCCAGCTGCTGGAGCTTCCAAGACTGTGCGGGAGCCAGGCCAGCACCCTGTACCAGATGGAGCATCGTCCGCTAAGGGGCACCCCATTGTGGGAAGCGAAGCTGGGGATGTCAGCCAGCTCCTCCCCAGGATGGAGGCAGATGGCCAGAGAGAGCCCGAGACTGTGGCTGCTGTGGGGGAAGCCCTGGCTTCGGAAATTTCCGACATGTGCCAGGAAGTGTTGTCTCAGGGACAAGAGCAGATTCTTATTCGGACACCCAGTGGGCTTATTTTGTCAAATCCAAGAGCCATCGTGTCTCAGGAAGAGAACACTGTCATAGTGACTAACACAGGGGGTTCTCTCTTGAGGTTTGACCCACCAGAAGGGGTTGCTCTTGAAGCCATGGAGGCCTTCCACACTGTGGAAACAGAGGCCTCTCAGTGACCAGGAGTCGTGTGTGTGTGTGTGTGTGTGTGTGTAAGCATAGGGTGTTGTTTTTTGAGGTAGGGTCTTGAACTTGATATCTAACCGAGACTGACCTTGAACTCCTAATCTTTCTGCCTCCTCTTCCTGAGTGGTAGGGTGACAGGGATGTCTCACCATGCAGAACTTTGAACTTACATTTGTATGGATTTTACCCATGGAAGATCTATTTCAGGCAGTATGTGTTTTTCTAATGTGAGTACTGACACAAAGGAGCCCGTTATTTATAGAGAATGATGTCTGCTCTATTATCTCTTTTTCCAAAGAGCTCATCACAACAATGGTACATGTATATCCTTGTTGTCTGTTTCTGGAAGCAGGGCTTGGCACAGCCCAGGCTGGCTTTGAACTCACGATCCTTCTGCCTCAGCCCAAGGCTGGGGTTACAGGTCTGTTCCCATGGCAGATGTAGACAGCGTGTACACAGCGATATGGTTTCTGGCCATTGCAGCTGATACCATTCCGCTCTCACTTACCAGCCTTGCACCGAATCATGTCCTCACTTCTCTCCAGTGATGTCCCTGCACTTCTGGATTCAGTTAGAAAACTTCAGAAGCCAGCATTCTATTTGCTTCCTTAGTGTCCATGGGGATTGAACCCAGAGCCTTGAAACTGCCAGTCCAGCTCCATCACTGAGTTTCATCCTTACGAAGCAGTCCGAGCCTGCTTCAAGTCTGCGGCCTCCCGTGTTAGCATCTCCAGAAGCTGCAATGGTCTGGACAGTCAGGTTTTTTGTTTTGTTTTGTTTTTTGAGAAGGGTCTCACTATGTAGCTCTGGCTGTCCTGGAACTCACTACCTAGACTGGGCTGGCTCTGCCCCTGCGTGCTGAGCATGTGCCACCACGCCCGGCTTCCTTCCATCTTCATGTAGATTCCAGGGATGGAACTCAGTTGCTGGACTTACGTAGCAGGCTCCTTTACCCACTCACCCATCTCGCCAGCCCTCCACTCAGGGTTTATGTTCACCTTTTTTTTCTTCCCTCTAAGACTGGGTCTTGCTATGTAGTTCAGATTGGCCTTGAATTAAGGATCCTCCCGCCTCGGTTTCTGCGGTGTTGGAATGGTAACCTCTATTTACTTGGGTTTTCTCAATGAGGAAAAGGCTTTTGTGATAGGATGCTTTATGGGGGTCTACAGAAACCTGGAGCTCATTGAAAACCCTGGTACTTTGATGTCCAAGCTGTAAAGTAACTTCTCAGGGTTCCTTTGTATATTTTTTATTTTTAAATTTAAATTAGAAACAAGGTTGCTTCACATGTCAATCCAGGTCCCTCTCCATTTCCCTCCCCCTCCTCCCGTGCCCTCCCACCAACCCCCCCCAATATCCCCTCATTTCCCCAGGGAGGGTGAGGCCCTCCATGGGGGTGTCCATAGTCTGTCATTTGATCCAGGGCAGGGCCTAGACCCTCCCCCCAAGAGTTCAGGGTGAGAGTGCATCCCTCATTGTTGGATGGGAGTTCAAAGTCCCTTTGTATACCCAGGATAAATACTGACCCAAGGCTCAATAGATTACCTAGGCCTCCTCACTGACACCCACATTCAGGGGGTCTTGATTCAGGGTTTCTTTGTGAGGGCTTCCATGGCGTATTGTGGGCCAAAGGGCAGGACATCTGTCCACATTAGACGAGGGCATTGGATCTCCGCTGTTCTCTTCTCACCCCTGGCACTCTTAGAGAGACCTGGAACATCCGAGATAAAGCTGCAGGGCAGAGCTGGGGATCACGGCTGCAACCTCACCAGGTCCTGTGCTTGGGCAAGACTGCTCTTCCCACAGCCCTCGAGACACCCCCAGATACTTCCTGTTTCCTCACTAGATCTCACGGCAGGATTCATAGGGAGAAACGGGCGGGTTTCCTAACAGGAACTGGGGACATCAGAGAGACTTAGGCAAGGTTGTGTCCTGTGGGCTGGGCCACTTCTCAATAGTTGGGTATGGTGCGTCTGTGATCCCAGCAGTTGGGGCGCTGAGGCAGGAGTATAGTGACGCTGAAGTCAGCATGATTTACCTAGCAAGACCCTATCCCAGGGCACCTAAAACAATTCTACGAGTGCATGCTACTCTTGCAAAGGACCGAGTCTGATTCTCAGCATTCATGCTGGACAGCTCACAATTGCTAGTAAAGGATCCAGCTCCAAAGGATCCAACACCCTCCTCTGGCCTCTGTGGGTATCTGCAGCTAGGTGCACACACAGCCACACATATGCATAATTAAAATGAATCCTAAAAAATCGGTAACTTCAGGAAACACAAGGTTCTACAAAATCTAAAAAAGTAGATGTAGTTTTCCTGTCCCAATTGCTCATTCCCAAATAACCAATACAGAGACGTAAATGCTTACCTATAAATGCTCAGCCAGTGGCTCAGGCTTGTTAAGCTCTTACAGCTTTCTTACAGCCCTTTCTCTCTCTGTCTCTGGTGGTTTTTTTTTTTTTTTTTTTTTTTTTTTTGAGACAAGGTTTCTCTTAGCTTTGGAGGCTGTCTGGAACTCACTTTGTAGACCAGGCTGGTCTCAGACTCACAAAGATCCACCTGCCTCTGCTTCCTGAGTGCTGGGATTAAAGGCGCGCGTCACCATGCCAGGCAAGTGGTCTTTTCTTTTGAGATATTTTCTTTTTTTCTCTGGGAAACATTTTGGAAGCAAGTACTTTTACCTGCTGAGACATCTTATAAGCCTGATTTTGTTTGTGTTTGAGACAAAAGTGCCGTTTTTGTATCCCAAGGTGGTCTCACAATCCTAATTCTCCTGCTTCAGGCTCCAACGTAGAGATTATACAGGTGCATGTCACCTTGCCTGGCCTAAAGTAACCCTTTACTATCTATAAGCCATCTCAGGTCCTTTGTTCAAGTGGCCATGATGCAAATATGATGCAAATTGGTATTTTAGACAAGTCCATCTTCTCTACTGGCCCAAAAATCTCCCAGGATTTGATGTGTGACTTGTGTGTAAGCTGTGTTCTGTAGAGCTGAGCACTTTGTAGGCAACTGGCTGAGGAAAAAAGAAAAGTATGCATGTGTGCATGTGTGTCACCCATGACTTCAATAAGTCAAGTTGAAGAAGGAATGCAACTTGGGAGTTGCCAGAACCTTGGACAGCTGAGTACCCGACACTGTCTTCTCATCTGGGAAAAGAAGAGTAGCATAGCATTCACCGTGCAAGCCTGATGTGATGACCTAAGTTCAGATCCCTAGAAAACACACTAAAAAAGTCAGCACAGTGGCTGCACACGTGTTTGCAGGTCCCCTGGCATCTACAGGAGACAGGCTGAGACAGCAGAAATTGGAAGCCTGCAGTCAGCTGTTCTGTGTTTACAGCAGCGTACAAGAGGTCCTGTGTCAAGGCAGGTGGGCAGTCATACCCAAAACCCAAGTGTGCCCCTTCCCCAGACAGAGGAGGAGGCAATGTGACCTGAATATGCTTTCTCAGACAGATGGGAGCAGTGGCTTTAATGTGCCCCCCACTTAGCAGGGACTGGGAGAGGTGGAAGTGGGCGTTTCCTGAGGTCATTTGACTAAGGCAGTCCTTGGTGATGAATTCAGAGTTCTCTATGAACTTGGGTAATATACCTTTTTTTTTTTTTTTTTTTCGAGACAGGGTTTCTCTGTATTGTTTTGGAACCTGTCCTGGAACTCACTCTGTAGACCAGGCTGGCCTCAAACTCACAGAGATCCTCCTGCCTCTGCCTCCCGAGTGCTGGGATTAAAGGCGTGCGCCACCACCGCCCGGCACGGGTAATATACTTAATCATAAGAAAGCTAACGAGATACAGAATACTCAGGCTCCAGATGTAAACAGGTGTGATTACTGGTCTTTTTATTGGCTTGTCCCAAATGCAAACAGCAATAATTCTTGGTAAGTGGTTTTCATCTCCATGACACCAAAGTCTACTCAAAAGGATTAAAAATATATATTTACAAATACATTTATTAATATATGTATATATATTATAGAATATATTTAATATGTCTCTCCAGCCATAGGAGAGTGTGATCTGCTCTTCCAGAGGACTAGAGTTTGGTTCCTAACAACAAGGTCAGGTGGGTGCCAGCCACCTTTAACTCTGGCTCCACTCCTTTTGTGGCTGCCCTGGTCAACTGTACATGTATACATACACAGACACAGATACAGTAAAAATAAAATCTTAAAAAGTGATAAGATTTTAAACCTCAAGTATCCATGGGATTTTACTTGTAATTACAGAACTAGAACATTCTCCAAACTTTAGGCGCCGGTTGGGGGTGTGGCCCAATGGTTAAGTATTCAGCTTGTGTGAGATCTGGGTTTGATTTCCACTACCACAAAAAAAAAAAACAAAAAACAACAAAAAAAAACCCAACCAACCAAACAGAAAAGGTGCATAGGTATAGAGTAAAAACAGGAAACCAGGGTTGTCTACACAGGTGTAACATGCACCATGTTTACAAAATGATGCCCCTCAGCCGTTTTTCTATTTATTCCATTCAGTGGTGCTCACATGATGACCGGGGACAGGGCAGGCTGGGAGAGCATAGTGCTGTGTCTGCAGCGGTTGCAGTGGCGGACCCTGGGGCACAACAGTTCCCATCCAAATGACTTCAGTCTGGAGCCCCGAGCCGTGATCACAGGCCAGGTGGCAGGGGAGTCACAGGGCCCGGTGCCCCGTCTCGAGCAGCATGCTCTCCAGCTGCAGCTTGCTGTCACTGTCTATGTAGGGCTGGTGCAGCCACATGGACAGGTAGGTCAGGCTGAGGTTGCGGTCGGCTGTATGGGCCAGCTCTGCGCCAATGGTGTGTTTCAGCAGGAGCTCCTTCTTGTATGCGTCAGACAGCCGGCGGGAGACCTCATCTGCAACAGACCAGACACCGTGGCTGTGGGAGAATGCACTCTCTTGAACTCTAGCCATGATCTCACAGGCTCCCGGTCAAAAACCAGAGTTAGAGGTGGCAAACTGACTCATCCGGTGGAGCACCAGCCCGCATGACGCCCTGGACTCGATGCCTGGCCCCGTACACTGAGCGTGGGGTGAATGACTGCAGTCCCAGCACGTGGAGCTCAAGCACAGATTGAGGCAGAAGGCTGGCAAGTACAACAGCACCGTCAGCCAGCACACAAATCCTGCCCAGAGCACACTGGGATAGCACGGGCAAAGGACGACCAAGCCAGGCCAGCCAGGGCAGAACAAGGCCATGCAGCCCTTGAGTGTAACTGGGGGTTTTCTCTGGGTCGCCAACCAGCTCCCAAATAAAGACACAGACACTTTGTCCTGCTTCCTCTGTGTCTGTGTGGCTGGACCCTAGCGTCTCCTTTTCTTTCTTCCTCAAGCCTAAATTCCTCCTCGTACTCACTCTCCCTGCCTATACCTCCTCCCTTGCTATTGGCTGTTCAGTCTTGGGCAGGCAAGGAAAACAGCAACATATCTATTTCATAGTCAAACAAATGCAACACATCTTTACATAAACAAGTATTTCATAACATTTGAGTAACTTGTAATGTAATGGCTGTAAAGAGTCACCTCATCAGCTAGTTGGGAGCATGGGGGTAGGGGAAAGAGAGTTAGGAGAAGGAGAAGGGGAGAAGAGGAGGGGAGAGGAGGACATGAGGGAGCAGGAAGATTGAGTCGGGAAGAATAGAGGAGAGCAAGAAAAGAGATACCATAATATAGGGAGCCATTATAGGTTTAAAGAGAAATCTTGCACTAGGGAAATGTCCAGATATCTACAAGGATGACCCCAACTAACAATCTAAGCAATAGTGGAGAGCCTACCTTAAATGCCCTTCTCTGATAAAGAGACTGATGACTACCTTATATGCCACCCTAGAGCCTTCATCCAGTAGCTGATGGAAGCAGAAGCAGACACCACAGCTAAACACTGAGCTGAATTTCTGGAATCCAGTTGCAGAGAGGGAGGAGTGATGAGCAAAGGGGTCAAGGCCAGGCTGGAGAAACCCACAAACAGCTGACCTGAACAAGGGGGAGCTCATGGACCCTAGACTGATAGCTGGGAAACCAGCATAGGACTGTTCCAGACTCCCTGAACATAGATGTCAGTTTAGAGGTCTGGTTAGTCTATGGGGCCTCTGGTAGTGGATCAGTATTTATCCCTAGTACTTTGGGACTTTGGGAGCCCATCCACAGAGGGATATTCTCTCAGACTAAACACATGGAGGAGCAGAAAGGGGATGGGATAGGATGTCGGTGGGGAGGAGCAGAGTGAGAGGGACCTGGGATTGACATGTAAAACAAGCTTGTTTCTAATTTAAATTTTAAAAAAGGCGGGAAAAAGGAATAAAAAGCAAACAAAAAACAAAACCAAGAGTCACCTCATCAAGATTTAGGCAATAATAGTTCTTGGAGGACTCAGGCAGGGGAAATCCTACAAGTTTGAGGACTGCTTAGGCTACATAGTGAATAACAGTTCAGCCAAGGATACCTATTAAGACCATTTAAAAAAGTAAACAAGGGGCTGGAGAAGTGGCCTATCGGTTAAGAGCACGAGATGCTCTTCCAGAGGAGCTGAGTTCAATTCCCAGCACCCATATCAGGCAGCTCATGAATACACATAACTCCAACTCCAGGGGGACCCGAGGTCTCTGGACTCCATGTATGTACCTATACCTACACACAGATACAAATAATTGCAAGTAAAATAAATCTTTAAAATTAATCCCAGCACTCAGAAGGCAGAGGCAGGTGGATTTCTGTGAGTTGGAAACAAACCTGGTCTACAAGAGCTAGTTCTAGGACAGCCTCCAAAGCCACAGAGAAACCTGTCTCGAAAAACCAGGGAAAAAAAAAAGCCAACATCAACTAGCTCAACTTTAAAAACACTGTATTTATTTGTGTGTGTGTACATGCCATGGTGTACACATAGGTCAGAGCTTAACCTAAAAACACTGCATTCATTCTGTGTGTGTGTACATGCCATGGTATGCACATAGGTCAGAGCTTAACCTAAAAACCCTGCATTTATTCGTGTGTGTGTACATGCCATGGTATGCACATAGGTCAGAGCTTAACCTAAAAACACTGCATTTATTTGTGTGTGTGTACATGCCATGGTGTGCACATAGGTCAGAGAGCAACTTGCAGGCATTGTTAGTTCTAGTACCCTTGGGATCCAGGGGTCAAGGTCAGGTCATCAGACTCTGTGGCAAGGGCCTGCACCTGCTGAGCCGTCTTACCAGCTTTATTAGCCCCGCACTGGAGTCCAGGCTGCCCTCAGATTCACTGTGATCCTCCTGCCTCAGCCTCCCAAGTACTGGGATTACCAGATTGTACCATTGACATTAACTAGAGTCTCAGGAGGGAGCCTGGGCTGAGAAAACACCTCCAGAAGGTTGGGCTGTGGGGCATTTTCTTAATGACTGACTGGGGAGAGCCCAGCCCACTGGCGGTCCTGGGTGCTATAAGATGGCAGGCTGAGCAAGCCATGGGGAACAAGTCAGTAAGCAGCATCCTCCATGGCCTCTGCATCGGCTCCTGCCTCCAGGTTCCAGCCCTGCTTGAGTTCCTGTCCTGACTTCCTTCAGTGATGAACAGTGATGTGGAAGTGTAAGGCAATAAGCCCTTTCCTTCCCAAGTCACCCTTGGTCATGGTGTTTCAGCACAGCAATAGAAACCCTAGCCAGGACAGACCATGATGAATCTCATTTTTCTCAATGGTCTCCTATGAGGTTGGCCAAAGGTCCTCAACTGGTGGCTGATTTATTATTAGTTTAAAGACAGGCTCTTAGTTTATAGCCCAAGTTGGTCTTGAACCGACAATTTTCCTGCTTTTGCTTCTCCATTACTAGCATCATAGAAATGTGCATTACTGTATCTGTCTTCAAGTTACTTTTACATTTATTATATATCTATATCTTTTTCTGTTGTTTTGGGTTTTTTTTCCGAGACAGGGTTTCTCCATGTAACAGCTCTAGCTATTCTGGAACTGACTCTGTAGACCAGGCTGACCTCAAACTCACTGAAATCCGCCTGCCTCTGCCTCCTAAGTGCTGCGACTAAGGGTATGTGCCACTACCGCCAAGCTCATTAATTTATATTTTAAAAGACAGATGCTCCATGTCCTTTCCTAAAGACTAGATCTAACCAATGCTGATGTCCCTCAAAACCACCTCCAGAAGAGCTACTTACAAAAGAAGGCTGTGGGCCATGTGTGGAACAGAGGGGGCCGGTTACTTTCTTCCCGGTAATGATAATTTTCTAGTTCACAAATTCCTTTGGTGGTTGAAGACAGCTTTTCCATTTTCATTTGTATTTTAGTCTGAAAAGATATTAATTTGGAATATGAGAATACTGTTTAGAATTTCTAATCTTAGACTTAGTAATTATGAAAGATTTGAAGGCTACAATATATAGTCCTGGTGAGGTTAAAATCCCTGTAGCTCACCCCATCACCTCCACAGACAGCAGATTTACGGGGACGCGGGCAGGTGGTTGCTGTGGTTCCTTTCTTTGGATTACTTTGGCACTAAGCCCTGGATTTTTACAGCCCCACAGAAGAAAGCTTGCCGAGTCCTACCGCAGTAAGACTTCTAAGCAGCACTAGTGTTTTAGCTCCAAAGACCAGGGGACCCCAGATTGGGCCACTGTTCTGAGTGAGACAGGCAGAAAGGCACTGCCCTGGAGTTCACTGCCACCTCTGTGAGCCTGCTGTCACACGGAAGAGCGCAATGAGAACTTGAAACCCACAGAACGCCCTCCCTCTGCAGCGGTGTCCTCTGTCAGCTCCCAGGAGCAAACCCCAGCACTGTCTCCATGGTGACGAGAAAGGCTAACACAGACCAAGGGCAGTGACGCACCTGGTTAGCTATGAGTGATCATTAAGAACGAGGGCTGAGGTTTAGGTAGCAAAGGCTTATTAAAAACGTCTAACTCCCAAGTATAGTTAGCTGTTGTGTGTCTTGGGGGAGGCAGATAAAGGAAGTACACAGCATCAAAATCATAATTCCTTGTACTTGGTCCTCCCAACCATCCGTCCCTGGCTTTATCTAAAGAGGCACACACTAAATTTAGCAAATGTTAATCTTTAAAAGGTCTCTGCTTCCTTCTCAAATAATTTTAGGTTCAATATTTCATTTGGCTTAACCTCCAGACAGGCTCCATCATTTCCGTTCAACAATGGGAAGTTTCTCAAGACTGAGGTGGGGAGGTGGGGCCAGGACAGGACCTGTGCTTTCTGAACCCACATCTGTGAACAAAAATCTGCACCCCACGGACCTTCCAGAGCCCTCCTAATTCTAGAAAAGCTTAGAAGGATTCAGAGGAGGAAAATCTGGAGGCTCTGACCTGTCATGCCTGCAGTCAAAGTCACATCTGTCTGTGCTTTGTCGAGCTAACAATATAACAACAGCCCACACTCATCCACCAGCGTCTGTAGTGTCTCCCACAGTCACACAGACCACAGCAAGGGAAAGGCTGCACCGACCTCCCAAGAAAAGAAAGACATGGAAAGCCAAACCTCTGCAATGGCTGGGGGAACATGAAAAACAGCATTCACCTCCAACCCCAACCCCAACCCCGGGGTTTGAACACTGAATGAGAGTACATTTCCAAAACAGTTTCAAGTCAGCTGTTGGTAGCACACACCTTTAATCTCAGCACTTGGGAGGCAGAGGCCAGGGCGGATCTCTGAGTTTGAGACCAGCCTGGTCTACAGAGCAAGTTCCAGGACAGCCAGAGCTGTTAACCAGAGAAAATCCTGTCTCGAAAAACAAAAAGCAGATTCAGGGTCACCAGAGCAGAGAGCTTCTAACCTGATGGCTAGCATGCACAACTTGCTTTCTCTAGTAAGATTATTTTATCACGAGTGTGTGTGTGTGTGTGTGTGTGTGTGTGTGTGTGTGGTGCCTGTGGAGGCCTGGGTACTGAATTGGCTGGAGCTGGAGTTAGAGACAGTTGTGAGCTGCCCGATGAGTGTAGGGAACTGAACTGCAGACCTTAGAAAGAGCAGCAAGTGCTTTTAACACTGAGACATCTCTCTAGCCCCAGAGCTAACAGGTTTCTTTTTTTTTTTTTTTTTTTTTTTTTTGGTTTTTCGAGGCAGGGTTTCCCTGTGGCTTTGGAGGCTGTCCTGGAACTCACTTGGTAGACCAGGCTGGTCTCGAACTCACAGAGATCCGCCTGCCTCTGCCTCCCGAGTGCTGGGATTAAAGGCGTGCGCCACCAACGCCCGGCGCTAACAGGTTTCTAACAGGACTCTCCTGTGCAAGGGACCTGGGCCCCTTGGGGAAAAAAAAGGCTGACTCGGGGAAAGAGGCAGGAAATATGCAAATAAGCCTGGAACAGCTTTCAATGCAAGTCAGTAAAGAAATGTCAAAAACATTTCCAAAGCGGAACATTACTATGAAGTCAGTACTTCAGGCAGATCTCCCAAAGCCAAAGTGCAAACAATCTGAAAAGAAGTTCAGTTGATTTGGACCACAACCAGATGTAAGACCTGTTACGTCCACAGTCAATAACTAATGACGATGGCTGCTTCAGTGTATGTGGCAGTATGGAAAAGTCACCATGACACAGATGCTCTGGCCCACAAAGCCTAAATATTTACTTGACAGACCCTTGAGGTGGCTGAAACTGCCCAGGACAATGTACCAGACAGCATCTTAGGGGCATCAGGGCTTGCTAGGTACGTGGCAAAAGAGGCTGAGGAGAAAGGGTCTTTGGCAGTTCTGAATGCTCCCACTGTCAAGCGAACCCCAAACATCCACTGGGCTTGAGTGACGGGATGTGGAGGACCAGCACTGTGAGTTAGGTCTTACCAAGCCATCCAAGGTGGCCTGCAGCTCCTCACACAGCGCTTCAAGTTCCTTGCTGTAGTCCAGACTTGTCTTTTCTTCCTTCTCACTGGAAGCTGGGCTGCTGCTCTCTAATTCAACCTTCTCTTTACTCCTGGACAAAGGAGATAACAATGGGTGCAAACGACACGCTTTAAACTCACCTCATGCTTGGTGCCCGGATGTCTCTGATCCCACAGCTGTGAACAAAAGTCTGCACTTCCCAGGGCTTGAGAAGTTCATGTCAGCCTGGCTACACTGTTAGCCTGCCTTAAAAAAGGAAAAACAAATGAACTGGGCATAATGTTGCACATCTGTGCTTCCAGTTCCTTAGGGAGGCTGAGGCAGAAAATCGGCCCAGTAGCATGAGAGTAACCTGCGCAGACGGTGGGGAGCTGCTGATGTAAATAAGCCAGGAGTGGTGGTATACACATGTAACCCAGCACTCAGGAGACAGAGGCAGGAAGACCACTGGGGTTCAGGGAACTCCGCATGTACTTACAGCAAGCTGACTTTCAGGTTGGCAATATTGCTCGCGGTGGTAAAGCCGGCATCGCTGAGGCTTTCCCATTTCAGGATTAAGTTATGCCAATCAGCTGCATTGTCTTTAATCTTTCTTGCACTGACAGATAAGACAGGTTTCCTGGGTGTTGCAATTCCAAGAGTCTTTGCTGATAGGGATCAGGAAAAACACGACTGTTAAGGAATGCATGACCACAGCCCTCCATAGTAAAATGCTCTGAAATGCAGCACCAACTGGATGAACCAATGTCCCAGAAACTCAGAGGATGTTTTCAGCTCATGGCTGCATGGACACTTGTCTACTCTTCTTTTTGAAGACAGCGTCTCAAACAAATGTAGCTCCAGCTGGCCTTGAACTCACAGATCCTCCCGCCCCCGTCTCTCCAGAGCTGGGATTAAAGGTGTGTGCCACAGCACCTTGTCTACTTTAAGAGTCAGAAACAAGTAAAACTGACTTTCTGCTAATACATCAATGGTTCCCATTCTCTCTCCTATGAGGTAATTTAGTCTTGACTATAATCCAGCTACCTTCTTCCAGGCACCTTGAACCCTTAAACAGGGCTTTTGACTCCTGAAAGCTCAGCACAGCACATATTGAGCAGGTGGGACACAGGGCATGCAGAGGTGACCTTCCCAGCCTAGGAGTGGGAAGAAACCCAGTCTTCTGCCCGCGTCAAGGCTGACACTCACCCCCACTGTCAGGCAGAACTCTCTTGACGAGGTCTTCACACATGCAGCTCTCTCCTGGGAAGCTCCTTCCATAAGCTAGCGCTGCCCATCTAAGACTCACCTGATCCCACTGTGCAAGGAAAGCAAGACCGAGAGCAGAGCTTGTGCTGCCTTTCCAACCCTGAGCCCTACACGGCCATCTCACGGGTGGGAGGAATCCAGGACACTCGGGAGCTGCATGCCCCGCAGGCCACACTTTGAGGACCAAGCTTTCTGGGCATGAATCATGGCTCTGTCAGCTCTGAGGGTAGATTTCTTTGTCAATCTCTTGCACCTTCAATGTTCTCATCTACAAAGTGGTGATAAACCAGCACCTGCTCCACAGGGCTGTTCAAAGTGGATACATGGCAGCCTGGTCTACACAGAGTTCCAGGCTAGCCAGGGCAACATAGTGAGACCCTGTCTCAAAAAACAAAGTATATAAATAATGTATGAGGCTGTGAGGTCCTGACCTGTATCACAAGGTCGATTACTAGTACCCAGGTTTGTCCACTCCTTCTCCAACACAGTCTTTTATTTACTCTGTGCCCCAATGCCGGCTCTGTACCATTCCAACCTGGATCATATTAATTGTCCATGTGTGTTTTCACTCACCCAGTTAACTCAGTATCCGTTAGGGCTGTTCTTTTTTGTTTCAATGGTATTGGGGACTGAACTAAGGCCCTGTGCATGCCCCTCAGGGCTATAGCCCTAGCCCATTTTATATGAGACAGCATCACCAAGTTGCCCAGGCACGCAGAAGCTATTTTATAGCTTAGACAGACTTTGACCTTTCTATTTTCCTGCCCGGTCTTCCAAGTAGCTTAGACTGCAGCCTGCGCAACCATGCCTAGCCCACACCTCTGCTTTTGAATATATTGATTTTTTTCATTCATTCTTTGCTTAAACAACTAATATCGGTAGGCTACTGCAATTGAATGAGACTTTTCCCATGGCACTTACCTTCCAAAAGAGAGTCAAACAATATTCACGTAAATAGTCTTACCAGTTCAGATCACAAGCAATTTGTAAAAAAATGGAACAAGAAGCCAGGTGTCACAGCACGGACTTTAATCCCAGTGCCCAAGAGACTGAGGCAGGAGGATTACCAAGAGTTCAAGGCCAGAGAACCACTGTGAGTTAAAAAGAGGTTAATGTGGGCTATGTAGCAGGATTCCGAGGTTAAATATAAATAAAAACCGAAACGAGGGTTTGGTGCTAGCACGAACCTAAAGGGCCCTTTAAGCTGAGGTGTGAATGACAAGAAGCCAGGGAAAGGGAGTCAGCATGGGCCATGAACTTGGTGAGTATAGCGAACAGCACAAACCAGCTTTACCAAGGCTGAAATGGAGAGGAAGCGGCCAACAAGGACAGGCTCACACAACTGGAGCCACACAGGATGAGCCAAGCCCAGCAAGGAGCAGGCAGTGGACGAGCTTGGAGCAGAGCGGCGGCCTCCCTACCTTATGTTCTACCCTCACTGCCAAAATAAGCAAAAACTTGGTGAAAAACACTCCCACAGGCGATGCGAAAGTGAAGGGGATACGGGGTAAGAGGGCATAAGTGGAAGTTAAGTATGAAAACGCCATAGAGAAACCTGCCACCTTGTAAGGTGGTTAAGTGAATAAAACTTTACACATTCCCATGTGCTTCCCTACTACATAAAGGACCTGATGGCGATGGGGACAGAATGAACTGTTGAGAATAACAGGATTCTCGTCACTTTCATTCCAAATGCTAAAGCCCCTCCCATGAAAGAAAACGCCTGAGGAAAGAAGATCCTTGGGGAGTGTAGTAGAATATTCCCTGTGCTAAAATCTTACAATGGTGCTCTAAGTGTCAATATGGTAACATACAAAAGGCTTGTGCATACAGGTAAAATGTCTGTTTCTGAGAAGTGAAACGTGGTAACGCTTATTTGTACCCTGACATCTAAATGATCAGATTTTAGAGATTTGTGTGTGTGTGTGTGTGTCTGTGTGCCTCTGTGGCGGTGCCTGTCAAGGTCTCCTGGAGTTACAGTTATAGGTGTGTGTCAGCTGCCTAACTGGGATGCTGGGACCAAACTCCAATGCTCTAGAAGAGCAGTAAGTGCTCTTAACTGCTAAGCCATCTCTAGCTTGAGATTTTATTTTTCTATAATTTAACCTCATCTTCACTTGGGGACTAGAATATTTTGAGACTCATCTCTTCTGATGCAAAAATTTAAATGCAGAAAAATTATAGCTAACATTCTATTTGTATGTCATATTAACTTATCTGTAAGTTGCAATAAATATATTTGCAATAGTTAAATGAAAAAAAATGATATAAACAAAGAAAGCCATTGTCCTGGCTTTCCTGTCAATGCGACACACTTGGGGAGAGTCACAATTGAAGAGCTGTCTGTGAGGATGTCTGTGTGGCAAATGAGGCAGAAGGGTGTAGCCCACTATGGTGGTGCTACCCTTGGGCACGTGGTCCTGGGCAGTATAAGAAGGCTCTCTGAGGGGCTGGAGGTGGCTCACAAGCTAAGAGCACTTCCTGCTCTTTTGGAGGACTCAGCACTCACAACAGGCTGTAATTTCCAATTCCAGGGGCTACGATGTTCTTTCTGGCCTCTGTCGACACTACACATATATGGTGCACTTACATAAACGCAGGCCAACACTCATACACATAAAATGTTGGATAAAATCTTAGGAAGAGAAAGCAAGCTAGCTACCATGCACGGGCGTGGGAGGGAGCTGGGGTGCAGGCCAGTGAGCAGCTTTCCTTCATGTGCCTGCCTCTGCTCACCGTTGGGCTCCTACCATTTCCCTCCATGATGGTCCGTGACCTGGAAAGGTAAGCCAAATAAACCCTTTCCTTCCCAAGTTGCTTTTTTTTGGGGGGGGGGGAGTTCGAGACAGGATTTCTCTGTATTGCTTTGGAGGCTGTCCTGGAACTCACTCTGTAGACCAGGCTGGCCTCGAACTCAAAGAGATCCTCCTGCCTCTGCCTTCCAAGTACTGGGATTAAAGGCATGCGCCACCAACGCCAGACCTCAAGTTGCTTTTCAGTCATGGTATTTTACCATAGCAACAGGAGGCAGATTTGAACAGTCCCATCAAGAAGTCTTCCTGGATCCCCCCCCCCCGTTACATCAGGAATGACTGCAGTAGACATCTGTCGCCTCCTATACTTGGGCTGTCATCGCATTCACCAGTCTTTACCTGCTCAATGTCTACGTTCCCCGCTGGACCGAGATCAACCAAAATAGGAGTTAAGTCTCGTTTCCTCCCCATGTCTTGCACATACAGTATATGGTGAATCAAACATGCTACGTGGAGGAACTGCTCTGACTACGGGTACTCGTCCCTCAGCGGGGGTTCCTGAGGGAGAGGATCACATCTGACTCAGCTTGCAGAAAGCACAGCTCCGACTTCTAGGCAAGCCGGGAGATATCAGCGATCTGTCACGGGCCAGTGCGGGACGCAAGTCGCTCCACTGCCACCCGCAAACGCACCGACTGGCCCACGTGACACTGGTCGGCACAGAGACAGCCTTTATTACAAACTGCAAGCTCCACGGCCGGGGATCCTGACCGCCGGAGTCCAGGGAAGGTTCCCGGAGGGGCCGGCAAGTCAGGCGGGAGGCTCTGAGCGTCGCACCTCTGACAAACCCTTCCCGCACAGCACCCCACTCAGCTGTCCCTCTCACACGGGACACGCCGCGGGCTCCCGGCCTTCCCCGCCGCCCCCACGACCCGCGGCCTCTCCACGGAACAGGGGAAGCCCAGCCCTCGCACGCACCTTCCATACGGCCCACAGGGAGACCTCCGCCGGGAGCCCCGGAGCCCCGCCCGCGGACTCAGGAAATGGCGTCACTTCCGCTCCCCGCGTCCGGCGACACTTGTGGCTCGGCTGCTCTAGCTCTCCGAAGCCCAGCCCGTTGCCCAGGCAACAGGCTCCCGGCAGCCCCCGCGGCCCCGAGTCCGTCCCGCCTCCTCCGGGCTGGCGGGGTTGCCGAGTCCCCGAGGGGCTGCCGCGGGAGGTGAGTCCGGGAGCGCGCCGGCGGGACCCTGATGCCCACGACGTCCCCGACGCCGGCCCCGCGCCTTCCCTCCTCCTCCTGGCAGAGCCGCCCTTCCCGGTCCGAGTCTCCATAGCCGCGTCCGCGTCCCACTGGCGGCCGCCGCACGCTGCGCGTCTGCCATAGCCCGCGTCCGTGCGGGGCACCGGGCGTCGCAGCGTTCGCCTACCGCCCGGGCCGCCGCGGCGCCCCGCTCCCCTCGCTCCTCCCTCCTGCCCCACCCTACATCCCTCCGGCGGCGGGCTCCAGGCTCCTCAGCCTGGAGACTGACGTTCCCTTCTGTGCTGTCCTCCCCCGACCCTCAGCAGGAACCCTTACTTTCGCCTACCAGCGCCGGGCAGCTGGCATGGGCACCCACTAGGAGTTCAGTAAGTGTTGGTTAAATGCGTAAGCGAATGCATCCCGGTTAGTAAGGACCGTGTGGCCTCGGAGACGGGATGGGCAGTGAGGGTTAAAGAATGGGGTGACCCCGGGTCAGACTCGAGGTCAGGTCACTGCGCTTCCCCTTCCTACCCGTTTGCTGGAGCAAGTGTCAACTTTCAAGCTTCAGTTTTGTCATCCGTGAAATGGAGGTGATAAGTTTTTATCTTGGGGTGGTGGAGGATTAAATGGGTCAGTGCATGTTCAGGTAAGTGCAGGGTCTGGCCGAGTGATCTCAATAAAGGATAGTTTGTCTCAGTTGTCACCCACAGGGCTCTGCAGGCTCCTCAGCTTTTCCCTCTAGTCCCGTAAGTCTCTGGCTTCTCATTACTTTCCTTTCTCTTCTCAACTTCTTTTTCCTGCCCTTTGTGCCTCCTCTGTTTCTCTTTCTATTCAGGGATTTTTCTGTTCCATTTGTTGGCAGAATGTGAGGTGTATTGTTTTGTCATTGACCGGAAAGATCATTTGCAGCTAAGATCTTAAAAACTTTGGGAGAAGGGAGCTTCGGAAAAGCCAGGTGCTACGTATAAAGTTGTTCTAGTCCTGTATCACCAGAGTCTGTCTTCTAAGCTGCAACCCTTTTTGTACCTTCTCCCACCCAGCTGTAATGCTGATGTACACCGCGACTGTTTTGTTTGTTTTGTAACCTGATCATCAAGTGTTTCCTAGGTCCACCTATGCCAGCTGCCGAGCCAGGCTGTAGGGATGTGTGGCTTACTCTTCACACACAGTCACGACCCTCTGGGAGGTTGTAGCCAGGCTCTTGAGATTCAAGCCTGAGTATCCTGTTTGATTTTCTGGGTGGGCATGGGAACCAGGGATGGGGAGGATGAAATAACGCAGTCTTCCATCAGGTCGTTTTCTTAAGCTTAGAAACTTGTTTTATGTGTATGTGTGTCTCTGCACCACATGTGTGCAGTGCACACAGAGGTCAGGAGAGGGCGTCACATCCCCCAGGACTGAAGTGAGCTGCCATGTGGGTGCTGGGAATTGAACCCTGGTCCTCTGGAAGAGCAGTCCTTTACTCTTAGGGGTTGAGCTACCTCTCCAGGCCCAGGCAAGTTTGTTTTGGTATAGCCACATTGCCTTTTTCAATGGAAGACTGGTTTTTATTGGGTTTGTTTTCAGGTTTTTCTTAGGAGGTCATCCTTTGAGGTTGAGGAGGATCCCTTTTCACAGTAGCCTCTGTTTAATTTGAACCAAATGGCTGCTGGAACTTACTGGGGGAAAAGGAAGGAAGCAGACGGCAGTTGATTGAATTTGGAAAGGTGTGGAATGGGTTGGAAGACAGCTATACAAATAATAAAAGTGGGCTTTGGGGTCAAGCTTGAGCTTGGGAGACTCAGGAGTCAGATTGTTTTTGTTTTTATGAGTTGTTGAGATAGAAGCAAGTTCAGAATGCAATTTTCCCATGAACGTTTATGGTTTGAATCTGGTCCTGAAAGTTCTAGTGAATCTTTGCTAAAGTCTTGGGGCAATGTGGCCTAGCTTTTTGTTTGTTTTGTTTTGGGGCCAGGATCTCACTATAATCCCAGACTTTCCACAGACTTGCTAAGGTCCTCTCACCTCAGCCTCCTGAGTGCTTGAATTATAGGTATACACCACCATACCTGGGTCAGCACAGGGTTTTTTTTGTTTGTTTGTTTTTTTGTTTTTTCTCAAGACAGGGTTTCTCTGTGGCTTTGGAGGCTGTCCTGGAACTCGCTCTTGTAGACCAGGCTGGTCTCGAATTCACAGAGAGCCGCCTGCCTCTGCCTCCCGAGTGCTGGGATTAAAGGTGTGCGCCACCACTGCCTGCCTGACTGAGAGTACCCAGCCAAAGCTACAGTGTGCAGGGATTACAGGCTCACTTAGGGGGTCATCAAGGTGCCTCACTGGGTTAGGGCACTTACCTTGCAAACCTGGTGACCTGAGCTCAATACTGGGACCCATGTAAAGTAGGACAGAGAGGCTCTGCAGTGTTGTCCTGGCTTCCACACGTAAATTATGGTACAAATACACCCGTATATGCACATCTCTCTCTCACGCGCACACCCAATACATAAATAAATTTTAAAATTTACAGAACATGTAGATGGATATGAAGTTAGATACATGTTTTGTTCAGGTGTCTGGTTTCATTGCTTGGGCCAGGCTTAACCTGTGAACAGTTGGCTAGCTAGCGGGCTAGAAGCAGGGAAGTAACAGCATCTCATCTGTGAGGTAAATTACTCCCTGCCCCTTTGCATTGCACTATAACAATCTTAGCACTTCAGCCGGCCATGGTGGAGTGTGCTTGTACTCCCAGAAGACATGAAGCTAAGCTAGACGACCCCTGAGGGTTCTAGGCCAGCCAAAGCTATAGTGTGAGACTGTCTCACAACAAATGAATACATAACTTAAAAGACGGATTGTAAGAGCTAGGTGTGGCTGCAGGAAATGATCTTAGCAGATTGTATTCACACACACGCACATATATGTAACAGTTATAATAAAAGAATAAGAGGCCCAGGTGGTGGCGGCCCATGTCTTTAATCCCCAGCACTCAGGGGGCAGAGGCAGGCAGGTCTCTTGAGTTCAAGGCCAGCCTGGTCTGCATAACAAGTTCCAAGAGCTATAGAGAAAAACCTTGTCTAGAAAAAACCAAACCAAACCAAAAATACCTACAAAGAATAAGAAGCCATGGGGCCAAAAAAGCTAGGTATGGAGGTCCATGCCTGTAATCCCAGCACTTGGAAAAAGTTTGAGAACAGCGGCTAGTGAGTCTGAAAAAAAAAAAAAAAGCAGGAACACTAATTATTACTTTGTATTAAGTTTAGAGAAGGTCCTTGAGAGGCAAGTGTTATCAGAGCCTGTGGTGACATGTGACAATTGTACTGCTGGGTGTATAATTTGAATTCTGAGTTACTTCTAGCTCTAGTTTTGGGAAATGCTCATTAAAAATTGATGGGGGATGGGGAGAAAATTACGACCTTTTTTTTAAAAAGCTTTACTTTATGTGTGTACTTGTTTTTGTATTTTCCACCTGTATGTGGGTGCCTATGGAGGCCAGGAGAGGGTGTTAGATCCCTTGGAGCTAGAGTTACGAGCAGTTGTGAGCCACTTGAAGTGGGTACTTCATATCAGATCCTCTTAACCACTGATCTGTCTCTCTAGTCCACAACCTTTGTTTTTAACTTGACTTTGAGTTTTAAACTGAAATACTCATAGCCAAAGTATTGTATATATTTTAAATTGACTTGTATTTATATGTGCCTATTTGTTTGTATGCGTACCGTGTACATGCAATACCTGAAGAGGCCACAAGAGGCATCAGATCCCTCGCACCGGAGTTAAAACGTGGTTGTGAGCTGCCATGTGGGTGGGTGGGTGCTGAGAACCAAATCCTTGTCCTCTGGAAGAGCAACAAGTGCTGTCACCTGCTGAGCCTTGTCTGTGGCCCTAGCATTATCTTAAAGACTGGCATAAAAGGCCTGGAGACCTCTTTCCTAGCCAGAAGAGAAAGCAGAGGCGGGCAGAGGGAAGGGGCTGTATTGAGAGGATTCTTTCTCAGTAAGACTAGAAGCTGACATTTTATTTCTTCACTCAGCAAATATTTACAGACATCTACTCTGTGCTAAACAAAGGCTGGCATCCCTTCTCCCCGAAGAGGTCACTTAGCAAGTGAAGACCAGAGGTTGTGGTGAGGACTGTGTAGGGCGTGTGGATGGAAGGGGGAGCAGGGAAGGAACCTTTCTGTAGTGATAGTGTTTCCGCTGAGCCCCGGGGTGAAAGGAAGCACCATCTGTGGACGGAGATGACTCTGGTAGAGGCATGGTGAATCATGAAGCCTGGGTGGGGAGAAGGGGTCCTTGGCGTTAGTGCTTGGAGAATGAGTGGAGGTGAGCTAGAGGGAGGGGCTGAGGACTAGTGAGCATCAGGGTCTCAGCCTGGACAGCCCTCGATTCAGTCTGCCGTTGGTGCTACCTACTTCAGAGCTGTGGACATTTTTAGTGAGTTAATTTTGGTGGCACTATTGCGTCACCAGGATTACAGGTGTGTGCCACCACACCAGGTTTATATTCCATTTTCAGAGGGGTAAATGGCAACCTAGAGCCATTAAATAATTCCCCAGGGTCCCATAGCTAGTCTTAGGGTGTCATTGGGATTTCAGCCGCCGTCCTTTCCCCCTCTGATGTCATCAGCCACTCCAGTGTGCTGCTGTTTTTCCACAGCAGGAAGGCTGAGTTTAATTATGGCAGTGAGTCTGAACCTGAGGGAGGCAAAATGCTCCTTTAGGCTTGCGTGGAAATCGGGCAGGTAGCAATGTAAGGACACCAGTCAGGAGTGTTCCTTGAGTCTAAGTAGTTTCCATCAAATGTGTC